AGAACGTTGTTTCGATAGAAATACGGATATCGCGTAGTGTTCTGCTTTTTAATAAAAATAAGAACGTGCAATATAGAAAGTAATAAACAGTTTATAAAACTCAAAATAATAATATTAATATAAAAATTATTATTAATTATTAAAATAATAAACTAAAATAGTTTATGAAACAGAGTTTAGGTTTCAAAATTCATGATGGAAGTTGTGTAGGGAGCCTAAGACACACTTCCCGGCTACTTCTAATAAAATGTTCTTTAGTAGAGGCTCTTAGGGAGATTTCTTTGCAAGATAAGCACATGTTTACAATGGTCTCGTCGTTTTAAATATAAGTGACGAAAAGAGGGAACGGACAGCCGCGTTTCGCCAGTCCAACGTTTCCACCGCTTCAACCGTATAATCTCTGGACCGGAATTTCGTAGTCGCTAGACGCGATATCGCCTTAAGCTGGTCTTAATTACGCGTTTCTAATTACTCGCACGACTTTGGTGTGTTGGATATGTTGCCACGTTCTCCGGGAAAATCTGCATTTAGACGCGTTTACGCTAACTTCGTTTACGCTAAATCGCCTATGGCTGGCTGGCAAAATGATTACGAAGATCGTCCCTGCTAAATAATTAATGTTATAGGAATTACCTTGTTCGCCAAGTAAAAGTGTTATAGTGTATTTTTAAGAACTTGATTACTCTGATTTACGAAGTTTGCTATTACGAAACTTCTACTGTTTACTAGTTCTATTAAAACTACAATCTGATAACACTTTCTTCTTGCCAATTAAAAAGTTCTGTATTATTAACAAAGTCAACAGTATCTCACAAAAATTAATTATTAGAAATTGCACAGAATATCCCTTAAAAATTGATCATTCTTATTCAACAATTATTACTTTCATAGAATGTACATCGTTAAATATTTGGCAAAAATTATTCGCTCGGCAGATCCTATGATAAAATTTCTGTTTTGTAAATATCGAAGTATTTGTAGAATATTTTTTAAAAAACGATAATTCAATATTAATCTTCTCTGCATCGTAAAAAGAATAGGAGGCTGCAAAAGGGATAAAGAACTGTCTGTGAGTTCTTCAACGGGATTCAAAGGGTGCACGCGAGATCTCCAGCTTTAATATCGAGCTCTACCATCGTTCGTTATTAACGGTCCGCAGCAGCCGAAAGTGGCGGAAAAACCGGCGAAGAAATGAGAAAAACCCTCGTGGTCCCTCGGTGAGCTTCCGGCTGTGTGACGAGTGCTTAACAAAGTAGCCTAACAGCTGCCGCATCTAAACGCCACGTTTTACCCTTGTCAGTGTTGCTGCTCTCTCTCTGTTTTCTAAAATCGTGGCGGAAAGACGTACCCAATCTAGACCGTGAAAACAAATAGCCAACAGAGAAAGAAACAAAACGGAAGAGACAAAAAAAGGGGTGGGGGAAGACGAAAAAAAAAGGAACAAAGAGTAGAATCGTTTTCATTTCAAGCTAACTTCTATTCTCTTTCTCCCTCTCCCTTTTGTTGTTACAGGGAAAAAAGCTGAGAGGAAACTACCCCCTTATTCGTCCTACCCCATCCACCTCTCAACCGTCCGCGAATGGGAAATTCAATTTGCCGGCCGGCTTTCTTATTTGATCGTGCGCAAACACAAAACGGGGACGAGCCTCGTTTCGTTCTGCTTCACCCTCTTTGCGCTCGTTGCATTTTTCAAAATCAGCTCGTGGCCACGCGGAATTGAACTCACTAGAGGCTCTTGTATCGCGGAAACGAATTTGCAGCCTGGAAATGGATCGTTCTCGTGCATTCTGTCTTCGAAATCGAGGGAAATACGCGGCTGGATGGATTTTTCGACGGAGATTCCGTCCCTCCGAGACGCGAGCACGTCGGATTCGAGAAGGGGTGTGGGGTCGATTTAATTGTCTTCTCGTTTCGCAAAGAATGCCTTAGGGTGGCTGAAGGGATTTCCACGGGATGTTACAGTCGTCGAGTATCGTTTAGGGGTGGAAGACTGATTGCGTGAAAGCGACGTCGATCGCTGGAAATTGATTCGACGTGAATTGGAACTCGGGGTAGTCACGGGGGTTAATACATTCGCTATCTTCTGTGGAGATTTTCTAAATGTTTTTTTGCGCTTTTGACACGCGGAAATTAGGAGAAAATTTCTGCTCCTGTATTTTTCTCTTCTTTTTATTTTTTAGAAACTTCTTCGGGAATTTTTTATCTCGATTCTTAAGATTCGTATATTAAAATACAGATATAAGTTACGGAAATTAATATCTAATTATATATTTCTTAAATATATTTTATACCTTTAAAATATGGAAGTTATGATTTATGGAATTCGGGACGAATTAAGCATGGAATATTTAAAAACTTCCTACTTTTTTCATGAAAAATTCCTTTAATCCAGAATTTGTATGTTAAGGTGTATGAGATATCGAAATGTTTTTTGTTTCGTATCGCAAAAATCTTCCAAGAAAATTGAAAACACTTAACAATTATAAATATGGATTCTTATAGACTGCTTCAAAAATATATCCCCTTCGTTTAATAAATTTCCAAGCTTACTCTAGGTTTTACTTTTAATTTTTCACAACTTGAAGAGTAAAATATTTAAGAAAAATGTAGGTGCTCTTTCTACGTTATTTGAAAATTCCTATGAAAATTTTCTCTAGATTTCTTCGCATTGTTAAAACTTACAAAGTTTATTAGACTGTGCGATATTTTCCTAAGCTTTTGAGAAACTACTCAGAGACAAAGGATTTACAACCCAAAGCACTTCGGCAACCAAACACTCGAAGCTGAAGAACTCGATAAATAGATCCAATGTTCCATTCACCGGCCATATTCAACGGCACCCATTAAAAGTAACACTCGAGGTAGCAACCCCTCACCTCGAGGCATCTTAAATCACGTTCCATTACCCGACGAACGTCACCCGTGGATGGTGCTGGCTCATCGGCAACTAAGAAAAAGCCAACCGCGCTTTCTCTATCCGGAGACGATAAATCACTCGTACCCGACCATTTCATCGAACTGTCCCTAACTAAATAAGATTAACGACGCATCCATTATTGACATTCAACGTAATAAAATCAACGAAATTATTTTCCTACCAATTTCCATCGTGAATATTACCACTATAAAAAATTTCATCTTTCTTTATTATCTGAATTTCTAAAGGCAAACTTTCATTCAGGTCTCCTCTCTTATACTCTTACCGTTCCCCGATTCCCTCCAACACCAACTACGGTTCCAATCACCGATTAGCTGAACTGTTTCTAACTAAACAAAATGAAAAATATATTTATCGATAAAATCGGCGAAATTACGTTATTAATCGTTTCTATTCGGCAGTTGTCCATCTTCAGGAGTTCCATCTTTTCCCTTTAATTATACTTTCCTTTCATCTTCCAAAGGCAAATTTTTATCCAGCTCTGATCCCTAAGGATTTTACAATCCTTATTTTCCTTATACCTAGAGCTGCAACCCTCGATTGCCGTTTTCAATGTCCTGTTTCCTTTCACTGAACAGTATGGTCTCATACACAGGGGCGATAAACGACGTTTAATCAGGTTAAGAGAAGACCCTGGAGCCTCGCCAACTCCGTGCGCGGGATTTTTCGAAAGTACCAGGGGTTGAACGTAACTCACAGCTAGGCTTGAATTTTCGATCGCGGCAGGGTCCGTTGAGAGCGGCAGAAACCGTTTCAGCACTGTCTTTGAGAAATAACGCTTCTTAGGTAGTGAAATGACGAGCGTGAGAGCGAGACGAAGATTATCTGGACGGGAAATGTACCGTAGAGGAGGCTGAAGAAAAGGTTGGGTGTTTAGTCGCGACAAGAGTGTGTCACGCGTTTATTGAATTAGGGCTTTAGGTTGGAGATTGCGTTGTTTGCGAATTAAATTACGCTATCTTCTGCGAGTGAATAATATTATCGTGAACAATAAATGAATAAATCGGGGGGACTGTTGAAGGAAATTTCTTCGTACTCGAACCGTTGAAACGTACAATTATTCTCTTCGTGTAAAAGTTGTTCCACTCCGAATCGACTAGTTTTATTCGATGTTTTATCGATATCTGAATTTTCGTTCCAATTAAACTATACTGCGATTCATATACAAGTAGAAGGCGTTTAAGTCATCATTTTGCTGCTTCTGAAATTGTTTAAGAGCTATAATTTAATTTATTTAAAAGCTATCTAATTATATAAAAGCGCGAAAGAATTTTTGATCTATCGACTGTTAACTCCTCCGCGTAACATGTCACCAAAAGTCGTTTCAATCGCTCGGTTCCAACATCTCCGAAACACTCGCGAACTTTCTGATTGCAAATTACACGGCGAACGGAAATTGTGCGTGTAGCGTTGGAAACAATTCCTAGTTCGAACGCGAAACGGATTACGTTCAACGGCAGTTGAACGTCTCGGAACACTTGGAAATTCTCGAGAAAACAAGATCGCTGATAAGCCTTCTATCTGCTTGTCCGTAGACGAGGCCTCTCCTGTCACGGCTTCTTGCCCCCTAACAATCGATATCGCGGCTGTAATCGACCGGCAACGATGTAACGCTCTCGAGATACTTGGTATTGGCAGACGGGTTGGACATGCGCCATTTCTTGTCCTCTTGCAAATGTTACCAGTCCAGGAAAATCGTCGCTGAATCAACGAAAGGTTTCACACCTTCAACGTGGTTGTTTGAACCTTCGTGGAGGATTACCTCTTGGAAGGACAAAAAGAAAGGGAGAGTCTCGTAACACCCATTCGACCTGCCAGTGTCGTTTCTAGGGGATGGAAGTGTTTTCTTTAACGTAGTCGGGTTGATAGCTGGCTTTCGTAGGAAGTTGGAGTTTAGCTGGAGGACACAGTTAATGGACCTTTTATGAGTAAAGAGGATTATTCCGAGGGTTCTTGGCTCACTTTTTGTTAGGAGACAGGGCATTTCGAATTTCGGGATAGGGATTGTTACTGAAGTTGGTTTAATTGAGAGTTGCGCTGGAATGTCGCGTTAGAGACAGAGTTTCACTGAAACTCGGACCGTCGACAAAAATCCTATTTCACGCGAAGGGTGGAAGTATGTTTTTGCGAGACTCGCTACTGAAATTTCGGAATTTCGATATTTCGATTTTCAAATCATGTTCCGTTCGAAAAAGTGAGAGAATTCTTTCGAAAGGATAAAAAAAAGAAAAAATAGAGGCAAAGGCAAGCGAATCAGGACGATTCAGATCTTCCAAGATTCGAGTTATCTTGGACATGCGACCTGCGACGTCGTTTACGGAAGAACCGTTCCCGCTGAAGAGCCACTTTTTTACTCGAAGTGACTGTACTCAAAGTGTCACGAAGAAGATCACGCCCTGGCCTCAGAGTTCGATTCTGTCTCGACTGATTAGCTCTTTTATCCTCGACGACTTCCTTCTCGCCGAACGAATTACTTCCAACTTTTCTGCCTCAAAGAACCGAATGCCTCGAGAGTATCGAAATTCCAAACTTCCACTTTGAAAGAAATAAAATCCTTACATGCGTTATATAAAATATGATAAGTATCGTTTTGTCGATGTTTTAATTTTTAGACAGTCGATTACGCGAGCGCAAAACAAGTGAAATATTTTAACCGTCAGAAATAGCAGCTATTTTTATCCATATCCATACTCTAAATGTTGTTAGTAACATTCGATCTTGAATAACAACGCAGAAAGAACAAATTTTACGTTCCTTCCTCCATTACTCGAAACATAGAAGGAAGCCAATAATCTGCTTGGAACCGAAGCAAACATTCTGGGACGAGCGAGTAACGAGAACCCTCTGATGCGATTGAAGTGCTGGCAGTCTACGTTTCTCGGTCTTATCATAAATTAGCAAGTCTGCCAACGGATTAAGTCGTCCTCTAGGCCGTTTGTCCCGATCGTTTCGTCGGTATGCATTTAAAGAAGGATAATCGAGGACGGCTCGCGACGGACCCAGCCTACGCGGGAAAGGGACCGTCCTCTAACGAGAAAACTTTCCCTCGACCGGCGATTCCGGTTCCCTTATTTTCCAGGGCACGCGCCATCGTTCCTTCTCTCGGGATTCAGATTAAATCCACGAGCACTTCGACTCTGTTGAATCCTATTTCTCTCTCCTATCGCCTGGTCCGACACCTTAATGAACAATTTACGGCTTCAGTTCGAACGACTCTTCTTTACCCGAGCGCTTTTTATCATAGCACTCTTGTTCCACGATTATCTTTCTTTTGTGACTCGAGGGTTGTAGAAAACTTGTTGTTTGGTTGGACTGGTGATCTGTAAGCAAGTGATATAAATATTCTGTACAGATAGAGATCGGAACCGGTGCGTGTGCTTTTGGAACGCGTCGAGGAATTTTCAGTTAAAGGATTCGAGGAAGGACGATGTTCGAATAAATGTTTTAAACCATCGTTACGAAGTTATTCTTTTCCATCTTCCAGTATTTGTTCAGACGTTGCAACTTTAGAATATTTATCGAACTGACAGGCGTTTTGAAAATCGCGGTCGTTTCAGTCATGTATACAAACGAAGCACGAATATTTCGCGACGTTGCACATGGCACTGTTCGTTTTAACCCTCCGGGAGAATTATTCAAGCCAGCGCAGCGGAACGAACGAGTTCCTGGTAACTTATTGTGAAACTTGCCGCACGGTTCGAAGAAATATAGTCCGTGGCTGTAATATGCTTGAATTATTGACTCGTGGCCACCGCCACGTCTCGGTGAAAACTTTCCGTATAAACAGGGGACCGCGAAGCTTTCGTGAGACTGGCTGGAAAATTTCGGAACTTTCCGTCGTGACGAATTCACTGTCACCGGCACATATTTCAATAAGTTTCAACAAGTGACTAGATCGTTGGCGAACTCGAAGAATTACACTATCGTCCATACACGTGTATTTGCGGTAGAGAAATAATTTAGCTATTTCGTCTCTAGAGCGTAATTATCTTTGTCATAGTCCTCCCTGTCGATTTTAATGTTAATATGTTTCATCGAAAACTTGTTTAGGAATCTGCGAAGAATAATTTATAGCAAATTGAGTATTTGTTAACTTTGTTAATTGAGTTTATTATGAAAATTTCTTCAAAAAGTAATAGACGAGAATTTACGATAAATCGAGCATTTCTCGATGTGCCTAGCCACGTATGATCCTTTTCTACTTAGGAGTTTGCATCGATTGAGCATTGTCTGACGCGTCTGACCATACACGATCCTTTCCTCCTTGGAAAGAAACTTCTCAGCTGTTCTTCCACGTATAACTTGTACATAATATGAACAACTCGTATATGAAAATCTTCCTGTATCTACATTTCCTCAAGTGCCTAATTATTTCAAATCAACGTGAAGTATTTGAGCGTCTACCGGCTTTCGCAACTTTAAACTCGAGTAGAATTTCGTGAGCAAAGTTCGTAGCAATTGTTCCGTACACAATCTCATAAACCGTCCACAAAGAGCGTATTTGCAACAGTAAAATCCTTAATGCGAGCGTCTTCTTAGTTTTCCATCCGTGTTGCAACAAGCAAAGGCAAAGTTTCGCAAACGAATCAGCCAGAGGCGACAATTTTGTACCACGCAACAAGCACACGCACGTATGGCTAACTTCGTTTCCGGTATTGTGTTCGTCTTATTGTCACCGCCTGCCCCTCCCAGGCTCAGCTTTGTTTCAAAGCAGATGCTAAACCTTCTTAGCCATGTTCATCAGGTTGACAATTTCTGGAAGGTCTGCGATCATTGTATTAAGTCGTGGAACCTCGAATCTCTCTATCGGCGCATCACAGCGCTCCATCAGCGCCATTATTCTTCGTATTTTTTTCGACTATTAATCTCCACCTTTGCGTGGAAAAAATTCGCGTCGCCCAATGAGGTGTACCATATCTTCTATTCGAAATATATAAATAAACGCCACGTTTACAATTGTAATTTAATAAACGATAATTCTGCGATTGAGATGTTCTCAAGATTCTGGTAATCCTGTCATTCGTGTCCACGTCATCATAAAAACTAATCTGTCGCGTGCGGTCTGCCTTGCAGTATATTCTATCAACGTGGAAGCTGTCAGCGAATTGCTCAGAAGAAGCAAACCTTCGTTACGTGTCATCGATAGAGTTTCGCAAAGCGTTCAAAGTAATTTCGCTCGAAAATTAAAATATTTTATGGAAGATTAAATTGACTTTACTCTATAGACGAAGACATTTCCTAAGGGTGGAAAAAGCTGTGTGTGTTTTTCTTGTTTTTTTGTATTTCGTTGGTTGGAAGGGTTCGTATCCAAATATCTTTTCTCCGCAAATTCAACAAGAAAGATATTCCTTTGTCCAGGGTTTCTTGGTAGTCTGTGGTTTCACGAAACCACCAAGGAGATCTGCAAAGAAATGGATTTAAACGTCTGGCGCGCAAAACTCGTTCGATCGTCGCTTTTCCGCGCTCATTCCCGCCCACGAATACGCGTTTCCCTGGTGGAGTTTACAGACGACGCCGTTTCTGAACGACGCTTCGTTGGAATGTGCCGGATGATACGAAACTCGCGATCGGAAGGCATTGTGTCGTTTAGGAGATGGAATTTTCTGTGTGGACTGGCTGAAATTCGGTCGGTTAAAGCTCTTCCGTTTCCTTTCCACGGGTTTACGTGTTAGTCGAAGAATACTGAAAAGAATGCCTTGGAACCAACTACTTGGAAATCGATTCTATTGGCAAATGCGGTTAGTGGGATGTGCAATATTTGCTTCGAGGTTTTCAAAGTGCACGTGCAACTATTTTAAATCTGCAAAGTGTAGATCCGTTCAATTGTCAAATATCTACCTTTCTTTAACAGTCACGATCTTTTAATGTAAAAGAAAATTATTTGAAGAGGAAGTATTTTAAATCATTCAAACGAACAAAAATTGCTAAAATAATGAAATTGTTCTCGGACTCTTGAACTTCGTAGCGCTAGTGTGATTCGCTAGCAACGATTCCAAGCTTCCGATCAATAGCGTAAAACGAAATTGTATTGGCTCGCATCGGGCAGCGATAATCGGAGCGAAAGATGACTGAAAACAGGGTGTTATTCGGTTACATAAATCGGGCGGAAGTGGACCGCAATTCTCCCGGATGCAAACAGCCACCATGGCGGCCGCAAATTCCCTCGTCGACCAGGCGTCACGGGAACGACGCATAATGCATCACCGAAACACGCGCGTCCGAATATGCATCTTGACTGACCGCACAGGGATCGTACCACCAGCTACATCACCGGCAAAGGAACGTGAATTAACCCGGATGCCATTTTCCCTCCCGTTGACGAAATGTCCGAGGGCTGGTTGAGCGGAAGGAAGAGGATGGTTTCGTCTGTTTCTGACATTCTCAACTGGATGAACGAACGTCGCGCCGCTGAACGTTATAATCACGATAACGCAGGAACGAAGACACGTTTCCTATTTAAATGATTGCCCATAGATGGGAAGACCGAAACGAAGTAGACGAAGACGCGTAATAATCGTCAAAGAGTTCTACCATGACATCGAAGAAACCTACAAACTGCAACGATTTCTCACGAAACGCGATAATCGAAAGTATTCGAAGATTACCAATGAATTTTGTAACTCCCAAAAGATTTGTAAATCTAATGGTACCACTAACGATCCAAAATATTCAACAATTATCAATGAGTACACTGTAACTGTTACGTCGGGTGACACTCTACCTAGACCAGACCACACACGTCGGGCCAGACGAGAACCAGATATCCTTACCGCGTACCCTCAATAGTCTTAAGGACCCATCGTAAATTTCAGGAATTTTCTAGCTAAGGTCCTTCAGACCGAACAAATATCTTTTTTCTAAATCGTTCTCTAAAGATTATTGTCTACTACGGCTTGACACGGTTAAGTTAGTTTTTCTCACGTATAATGCTTCCCACTAGCAACTTCCTATCGAGGGCGGCTAAGATCCTTCCTAGTCCACCAACCTTCTTATTATCCAATCAGAAGCAATGTCTGCCGCCCTCACTTTCCTAACTAAAATTGTCATCAACAAATCCGATGGTCCCGTGCGCT